GGGTGAGCAGAGCGGGGAGCGGGGGGTGCCGCCGGGGCAGCCCCGTCCTGCCGGGGGGTGGCTGGGTCCGCCCGCCATCCCCCAACCCCGCTGTGCTTCCTCCGGCAGGTGAAGACCTTCGGGGACCTGGGGAGCGGGGACCAGGACAACCTCGGCGTCTACATGGACCTGGTGGACGGCGTCGTCCTGAACAAAATCATGCTTCAAATGTGAGTGGGCTCGGGAGGGGGGGGCGCCCCGGCCTCTCTTCCCCGGGCGGCGGGGGCAGAGCCGCCCCTTCCGACGGGCGAGCGGGGCTCCGGCCGGGAATCTTCGCAGCCGGGCGGCGTGGGGCCAGAGCGACTTTCCTTTGGGTTGCTCCTTGAAATTAACAAAAACAAAGGGGGAGGAAAAAAAGCCTGAACTAATCTAGTTCCAAAAAATATTCTTTAACTTTTTCCTAGGGTTTCTCTGGGTTGTTCGTGTGGGGTTTGCTCTTTTTTTTTTTTTATCCTCGTTTTTTCCCCCCCAAACAGTTACATTTTCTCAGTTGTTCACACATGCTGCAGTGGAAGGTGTGTGGCAGTACAAAGAAGGAAATGAAAGTACCGTGTCATATAAAGCTTTACTGGGAAGATTCATCTGAACTTTGTCTGCTCTTGCGTAAACTTAGATACTAAATACATAATTTAGAAAAAACTTTTCAACTTCATGATACTTCCTCACGCAGCACTGTAACGCCATGTGTTGAGGGAACTTAGAAATTGGTTAAAAGATGGAGCGCTGAAAATACTGTAATGTCGAAGTGAATTGCTGTTAGGGCTTGTACTGTGTTTTTAACCACATCCTTTCCTGTTGCTGATCTGCTGCATGTAGATCGTGACTATGTTCTCTTCTCTCTGTATTTGCTTTTAAATATCCTGAAATATATCTGAGAGAGAATTTGTAGGGAGAAGTATTTGGTTTTCAGATAAGGAGACTTTGGAAATCGCTCAGATTTGGTACTGCAGTCTTTTAAGTGATGGAAATCAATTGAAGCTCGACCAATGTTTTGCAGTGTTAGGCCAAGCATTTAAATGAACAATTCATATTAGAGTCTTTTAAATTTTTCAAAAATAACTTAGTCTGACTACCCATGCCTCACCCACTCAATCTACCAAGTTTTGTTACCTTCTAATACCTGTCTGCTCCATGTGAGAAGGTAATGAAGTTTGCTTTTGGTTTGATGTTACCAACAGTGAAAAAATTGAACTGGAACTGAATCCATATCAACCAGCCCACATAGAGATAACAAACTAGCTGTGTAAAATGTTAGCTGAGTTGGAAACCTGTTGTAAAGAGAAGGCATAATCTCCAGCATTTCTTAAGGAAAAGTGACACTTTAAAAAGATAACTTTTCGCAAATTAGAGCCTCGAGTACGAATGTTTAGATCCAGGCTCATAGCTTTCCAAGTTGTGGGAAATTAAATTTTGATTTATGATCACTTTGTTTGGCACAGAGATGACCAACTACACTATCAAGGAGTAGAAGTTGAGTCTGCTGCAGGTTTAACTAAACTAACACTGTTGTCTAATAAATTTATCTGATTACACGTGCAACAATGTTGTTATTTCAAAACAAGAAAAACTAACTTAGTCGTTCTTGAATTTATGAAGTTACACGGCTTTTGAGTGACTGTGGCATTCTTATGAGAAATACACTTTAGAAGAGCTTTGTCAGGTGGTGTGGGCAAACTTTAGTATTTTGTAATTGGCCATTGAAATATGTCTAAAGAGATACAGAGTCGTTAAAGTCTAAGGAGCAACTGAACAATGCTCTGGGGACAAAGAGTGAATGATAAGATCTCATGGAAACAAGGAAGGTAAGCATATAAGCTGGCTGAGTGCAGTGACACTAGCTGGCATTTGGTCTGATCTCATGCATATTATGAGAAATGCCCTGGCACATTTACTTGTTTTAAGCAGTCAGGTAAATAAGTTGGTAGGGTTTTCATTTATTTTTGTCTCGTGGTTGGTTTTTTTCCCTAAAAACCATCTCTGCCAGTAGTGTCTCAGAAAGTGAAGTGTGGGAAGCACAAGCGGTGTGGAATAGGAAACTGTCCCATTATACACAATCGGGCCTTTTTCACCCATTTTTTGGCAGCTTTGGCAGTGCTTCTAGTGGTGTCTAAGGAGTTTGAAACCAGAAGCTTTGTACTGAGAGCCCAGTACTGTTTAATTTAGGAAGGATTGTAAATTTATTTATGTATCTCGACTCAGAAAGGTGCTCAGGAGACTTGGTGACTGACTTTTACTTTTCCCTGATTTCACCTTTAGAAATTGCAGTGTAATTACTGCTTGCCTGTAAGTCAGGAAAGCCTTGTGAGTCGTGTTTCTGCCCCACAGAGCTTTCAGAATAAAAAAATTAATGTGTTCTTAGAAATGCTTGCTCATGAGGTTTTTTTAAGTCCTAGTCCTGAAGATGGCTTTCAGTGCTTGGCTGGAGATTTCTTCCTGCTGAAATTGTATTAATGAGGGCCTTTGATAAATATGCTAGAATTTGATATGCCGTGCCTTGATAGTGTTGATTGCTTGAAAGCACAGATGCAGGCATGCACAACATTTAGATAGCAGGGGGTAGGAGGGTGTAAGAGTGGGTCTCCTGATGTGGATAGCTGTTTTATCACTCGTGTGTTATTTAATTTTTAATTTTTTTAAGCAGCTTGCTCGATTACTGGAACAGAAATCACAGGGGCACATGCATTTAAGCACCAGGTGTAATGTGGTGCTTTGCTGCAAATCAGCATGTTTCTTTGAAGATTTTGAAAACCAGATTCTTGGGAAATTCGCTACTAAAAATACATCGTTTTTGTTCTGCAGCTAAGCAGATTTTAAGTTTAATTCGGGGCAAAAAAAGACAGGTGGATCTGTGAAGAAATCCAGATATACCTGTTGAGTGGAGATTGCTGAGTAAAAGTAAGGCTTTAGCTGTTTGAGGTGTGGGTGGGCTGTAGGAGTTCAGTCAGCCTCTAATTTCTGTTGTAATAGTTTGGATTTTCCCCAAGCGCTGTCTGGCAACTTTGGGTGGAGAAGATCCCAGCTGCTTAAAGTTACAGTCAAGGTATTTTAGGCAGTGGATTTGTTTCAGCAGCTGTGTCACTAGAGAGATGAGTGACATCTGTCACTTTTCTTGCCTGCCAGGTCCCTGCTGGCTCTGTGAGAGGAGGTGAAAATAGGGCTTCATCCTCTTCAGAAATGAACTGCACCCAGGAATGCCAACCCTGAATAAAGTGTAGTTTGCTCAGGAGTGCCAAGTGGAGCCGTAGCACAAGGGGAAGGGAACCTGGCCTGGGCATAGGCAGATTGGGGTCGGTAGGTAACCAGCTGTTGGGCTTTGCTGGTGATCCCTTTGCTTCCTGGTGACCTCTAAAGAAAGCAAGAATATTTTTAAGAGAATTGAGGATTGCTTGGTTCCCAGTAGGGGTGCCTAGCTGTTCGGTGAGTTAACTTCAATAGCAAGAGCCAGCAGTGTTTGGTTTCCACACTTAGATTTTAAAACAAGATATATGGTTTTTCAAGTCATTTTGCTGTAAATGAGTGGTTTCCTTTTCCTGTGTCCTGTTCAAGTGTATACCCCAACCTGATCATGCATGAAGGACAAGTTGATTTTTGCAGACCTGCAGTACTGGCTGAATACTCTGCATATAAAAATGTTAGTTAGTCTTCAAAGTGGAACTGCTGTGTTTCAAGCTTCCGGGTTGCTGGTACCAGGTTAATGAGCTTCTCTGCAGACTTTCTTTAGAGAACTTTTTTCAGATGTCTGTGTGTCACTTCCTGGTATGAAATTAGCACGTGGTGGCACTGCACAGACTACCTTCAGTGCTACATTTGCAGCTGTGGCATAATACCTACGAGCATAAGCAAATATTTGCCCCATTTACTTTCCAAATAAAACTTTCTATAAGAAATCGTGGGGGTTTACATATGCAGGCACATAAGTGTTTTCACATTGGCTGGTTCTAATTCTTTTAATTGATAGTGAACCCTGCTTTTCTGTCAAAACATTTAGCAAACAGGAATGTGTGTTAGGAATGCAGCTGATAAAACTATTTGTGTTGAAGCCCCATTATAAAAATGCACGATAATAGGTTTTTCCATTTCAATTGCAGCTGTCATGGTTTGTGGTGCTGTTGATCTGTCTTCTTTAATTTAGACCACGTGACAGGAACACAAGTGCCCGCTTCTTGTGGTTTGTAGCAAGTGGCATGAGTACCAGAAGGCTAGAGATGTGCTTCTGTTTAAATTAAGATCTTATTTAGAGGTACATTTTTCTACCATTTTCTAGGCAATTTAGAAACCCTGCCAGCCTTAGTGGCATTATCTCACTTGATAGAGGAAAAAGCTGGATGATAGGAGAGTCAGACTGGTCCAAGACTGGTGTATATTTGATTAGCACAAAGTGCCACAGGAGACTGGGCATGCCTGTTCCTTCTGGTGTCTCAGAACCCTTGGGCCAGACTTGTGGGCTTCCCCCTTGCTCATCAAAATGGCTTGTCAGAAGTGGTAGGAATGGGATTGTCATTTTGAATTTTAGAATTTAAATTATTTTTTTGTTGTTACTTTTATTAATTGGTGACTTTAGAGGTTGCATCTTCGTGCACTTGTGCTGCTGGCCCCATGTGTGCTGAACTTGTCACTTACCTCTGTTTCCTGACTGTTACTTTCCTCTCTGCTTCTGTGAGAGTCATCAATGTGTACAAACTGGAGGACTTCTTTAAAATATTTGGGTATATAGTGAGGTTTGAGACTTTCTGTACACTTGGCTTGGGTGGTTTTTAACTGGTTTGTGGAGTACCTCCCGTAGTCACACCTCAGCCATGCTGTCTCAGTCTTATTTAGATAACTGTTTTGATCTGAGGAGTAGGTGGTTTTCAAAAAAGAGAAATTTAGTTTTCAGTATATTTGTAAGGGAAAGACCAAACATCAAAGGACTGAAAAGGCATCTGAGGTTGTGTTAAGGGTTTTTTCAGGTATGTCCAGACAGGAATTTGTTTGGGTTACCTGGTTAGTGTTGCAAAATAATCTTTTTCATTTTCAGTGTGATTGTTGGAAAGAGTTTCTTTGTATAAAATTCTTCATAAACAAGTTTCACCAACCAGGCAGCTGCTATAATGTGCAGAGTGTGATACCAACAGTTCTGCTTTCTTTAGGACAGACATGTCTTTAAGCACAGAATTTGCTTCTTACTGTGTAATTTTACTTGGTTGCTTTTTTTCCTTGAGGACTGTGCTTCCCCTTCCTGCATTTCTCTGCTGCAGATCAGGCTGTTCCAGTTGTAGTGTTTGGAGTACCTCGATCTAGCTAGCTTTTTAACCTTTTTCTTTCACTTCTCTTGAGGTGAGTAAGCGTGTGTGGCTGTGGGTTTTCAGGGAGCTCGCTCTTTCCCTGAGCACAGCTCACCTCAGGATGTTGCCCTATCCCCCTGTGGAAAGGCCTGCCTGCCCTGGGCTGCTCTCTGCTCCCTCTGCAGGAAGGCAGCAGGTGGGTCTGGGGCTGCTCCCACACCAGGTGAGTGGCTTGCTGGCTCCCTTGGCTCCTCCATCTCACCCCTTCCACATCCCGCACCGGGTGAGTGTCCTGGAGGAGGCAACATCAGCGGGAGGGATCCAGCTGACCTCAGTGGATTCATTCAAGGCAGGAGGTATGATGTGGAAAACGTTTGAAAAATGCAACAAATATATTCTTCCTGAGTAAACACGTGCGTCAAACCTTTGGAAAGAATGCATATATATGTTTTGGAGGGTGAGAGTGGAATCTTCCCAGTCCTTCCAAGAATGATTTTCTGTTGTTGGAAGTTCTTGTCTGTGGAACAAAAGCAACTGTAGTCAGTATTTGAGCTTACTTCATCCAGGATTAAGAAAAAAATATGGTAACAAATGAAGAAGAGATTCGGTATTGCTTATTGGGAAGAAATTGTTTAGTTTTCCCTGTGGAAGACAATAAGCCCTGTGGTAGTTTGAAGTGTAGGCTGTGCTGGCCTTTCATGTCTTGTGCAGAGGATGCTCTCTGAAGTGAGCTGAGGTGATGTGTGAAGCTGTTACACAATATCTTCAAGAAACATAACCATTGGTTTTTTGAGCTACATTCTATTTTCAGGAAAGCTTTTAACATTGTGGTGAAGAGGAGGTGGCAGGAGTGCCAGAACGACACTATGTGCTGCAGCTTGGCTGCAGGTTAAGAGGACCCTGAGGTCAGTGGCATTAAGGGCTCTTGGGGCAATCAATTACTGTTAACAAAGATGATAGGATAAAAGCTCTGGAGTTGCTTCCGAGGGCCTGGTTCTGCCACTGCTTATGTTCTTGTAATACTATCTCCTCTGTGCAAAGATGTGCAGGTCTTGTCTGGGAAGGAGGAATTGTTCTGTGTCTTAACGTCATCCAAGTCCTGCAGTTCCACGGCCTACAGCTGCTAAAGAAATAGCCTCTTCCTTGCTGTGGTCAGTGGGTGTATTTTGTGGAGTTTTGACCCATTCTGTGCCATTCTAGAAAGTGTTGTGGAGTAGTGCTCTGCTGCACAGTCAAAGCTTTTGCTTCTGGCTATAGACTTGGGACTCTGCCAGAGTGTGGCATGGCAGCGTGCTGCCTACATGAGCTTTCATGTGGAAACTGTGAAGAACTGAGAACTGCAGACCGACCCTTCTGTTTGGCCAGTTTCTCTTTATTGAATGTTTCTTCTCTTTTGACTTCCCAGTTTGTTGTCATGACTTTGCCTAAAAAGAGTAAATGTGTCCAGCTTCCTTCAGGGTCCAGCATCTGCTCAGAGAACTGAAGGCAATTGAGCTCAAGCCCAGGTGGCATTTATGATTCTCCCAACTTGCGGTGTTGCTGAGGACCCTTACTGTCAAACTGTTGTGGGTATGGCTTCTGCACTGCTGAGCATCAGTAAAACAGAATACTTATTACAGATTTTACTTTAAAAGCTTGTTGCAGTTGTCTCTTTCTGTTTTTTCTTTCATAATTTATTACAGTGCCAATCAGTATACAAAATGCTTTGCTTCTGTGAAGGCTGTGTAGTGTCTTGCTAGTTAATGCTGGTAGCAGTATTGGTCTTCTGTACTTCAGGTTGCTTGAATCCTGGTACATGAATACCATGTCTAACGTTATCTTGTCTCCAGAATATCTGTATTTTTTCATACTTATAGCACTGCTTTCACTCAAAAGGTGCTCTGGAATAGTCGTGCCTTTGGAAAAAAAAAAAAAGCTCTTTGACATACTTATGTAAACGTTGGCAGATATATTTTAAAAATAAATATTGGATCAGTTCCTCTTTTATTTCCTTGTCAACGCCTGACTTCAGTATTTGGCCCTGGAAGAGCTGTGAATGGCTTAATTAACAACCAGAGCTGAGCTCTGGGAGGCAGGTGTTTGGATTGTGTAGGAGTCTGCTGATAAGAGTCATTATTAGAGGGGAAACACAAAGCTTTGATCTATGCTGTTGGCGGATAAAGATTTTCAGGTTCTATTTTTGTAACATGTTAGGGTGTACATAGAGTATCTGAAGGTATATATTCGTGTTAAAATATTTGCAGCTTTTTCCCTGTGTCTTATTTTTTATTTTAGAAATAAAATTGCTTCAGGTACAATTTTGTTTTATTTCCTTTATTTCCTTTTATTTCCTTAAAACACAGCGTGTATATGAGAGATCTAGTTAGATGATATGGGTGTAAGAAGTGCAGTATTCTCTTTTTGCCCTTCAGTTTATAATACATTTGTTTTTTGCAGTTTTCACAGTGATCATTGATCAAGTGCTAATACCCTCCTCTTGTCATAAAACTCCAAAACAAAGGAAGGCATGGTAGTGTTTCCCAGACTTCCTTTATTTGAATAAGGAAAACCCCTTATTATCAGAGACTGTGCATGCTAGATCAAAGCAAACCAGATATGCTCTCTTTTTGGGGAAATGTAGGTAAGGAAGAAAGCTACCCTGAAGTGATGTGCAGTTTAAAGAAGGGTACTTTGTGACATTTCCAATTTATTTCCAATTTATACATAGGTGCCAAGATAATGAGCTTATTCTATCGTCAGTTAATGTTTATGTACCCTGTAATTTATGTTGGTGTATTTAATGCATTAACTTTTATGAGTTTTCCTATTGGTTTGTTATTGAGATGTTAAGTCTTAAAACTAGATAAACTAGTAATATTTTATTTTCTCTTTCCTCTTTCACAGAGATCCTCGGCCAACCAACCAACGTGTCAACAAGCACGTAAATAATGACATCTATCTTCGGGTTCAAAACCTGACTATCTTAGTCAGGAACATTAAGACTTACTATCAGGTGAGATTTCTGCTTATTGATCTGTGGTGATTGCTATGCTGTTTTAGCCAGTGCAGTGGCCGGGGGCTCAAAGAAGCTTACTGTGGGAAATGGAGAGGAAATTGTGTAAAAGTACTGTCAGCCATACTTCTGAAAATGGCAATACAGTTATCTGTTCTATCTATTCCTCATGGCCAGAGGCTGCTTCCCTGCCTTCTCTTTTTCCAAGAACAAGTTGTGCTTGGGTTTGGAGGTACATGTAGTAAAAAGGCTCTTCTGTGGTAGGATTGTGGGTTGTGTATTTGAAGGGGTTTGGTGAAACTGAAATAGTGTTTCCAAGTATAAAACTTGTTTAAAACAAGTCACCTTCTTTTAAAGGGGCTGCTAGAAAATAAAATACTGATGAAGAAATGTTTTTAACACTAGAATATAAACCTTAAATTGAAAGGAAAAATAAATCTGCTTAACTTGAAGGTAGACCTCTTCCATTCTGTACGTATTCTTCATGTTAAAGCCATTGTTTATTCAGAACTTCTTGAAGTGAGTGCAGGAATGACTACAGACTCACAGATAGTGCACTTGTTAGGTGACATCCTTGAACTGACTGTAAGTGTTCCTCTACTGTAACAGTGCTCCTCTGAAACCAGGGTGGTGACAGCTGAGCATTTTTTCAGACTTACATCCATGTTGGCTGTTGCTGGAAAGCTGTAGCAGTGAATTCAGTTACTCTAAATAGAATTTCTGTATACACACAATTGGGTATATTTAGACTCCTTAGTGAGGAGGTAGCTATTCTGCTGTTTCCTTCCACACATCTTTTGCCAGATTTGAGTGCTGTTCAGTATAAACCAGGCTGAAAACTCTGAGGACTGTTAAAATGCTTCTCTGCATATGTGTCTCGATCATATAATGAACAAGCCAGCTATACTCTAGGAGTGGATGTCAGTGTGCTCGGAAAACTTTGGGGTTTGTATGTATAGAAGAGCCTGTGTATTTGTTTTGTCTTCAAAATACAGAAGAGATGTAGTGTAGTGCCTTCTGATGCCATTCTCTTCCTGAGCTTGCCCACTGCTATTCTGTGTTACTGCCACAACTCTGCTCCTGGACTTGCTTAAGGAAGCCTGAAAAGAGAGACTTGTGAAAAATGACAAAGTCTGATGGGGTGTATGACTCATCTGTTCAAGTTTCAGCAGCCTGCTAGAAAAGTGAAGTGTGTAACTCAGGTTTGAGTTGGTGTAGGAGGGTATCATGTATTTCTGAAGACAGCTGACC